ATTTATAGTGATTATGTGATATTAAACAACCTCAATCTTTTGTAAATTCTTGGACTGAAAAATGAGAGTAATAAACTGATAAAAATTTCTAAAACATTATCCAGTTCTTATTTTCCTTGACTTTTTGATTAACTGAATTTATCCTGTCCATAATCCTATCATTTGGAAAATTGAACAGCAATTAAGGGATGCCCACTATCTCATCAAATTAACAATCTAAAATTAGAACATTTGGAATTAAACATCAACTATAATTTTAATCTTTATAATTTTGCCTAGTGAATATATAGTATAGTAAAATTATTTCTAAGTATGAATAAGTCATGTATTGAGATCTTCCTTTGTTACATATATATATATTTATAATTATATTTATGTATTTATAAATTTGAATTAGTAAAAGTGATATATACCATAACAACCTATGTACTTATATTTTATAGTGCACAGTTCAAATCTTATATTTAGTAGGATTCATACATAAACGCGTATATAGTTAATTCTTTTTGCCAGTTCATAAATTTGGATAACTTACCTATTTGAAACTTTATTAATAGGCAAATTTTGTAACATGAGCTGATGATTTTATAACTACAAAGTAAGTTGTAAAGTTTTTTTATTTAGATAGGATCTGTTGTTCTTCAAATAAATTTTCCTAATACTGATTTTTATTTTAATTATCTGTATTTCTCTTAGATGCATTTTATATTTATTATATAAATTTAGTTTGTTGTGAAGAAGTCATCACTATTTTCAATATAGTAATTTAAGTACAAATGCTAAATATACATTTACTCATTATAATTTGAAAGTTAATTATTAAGTTCTGTCCATTTTATAAAGTTGAAGATTGAAGAAAATCTTCCTTAAAACATAAAACAAATGTTATTTCTCTACTAGTTGAGTAAAATGAACTGGTTCTGTAATAGAATCGGCATGGCACACTGTATTTTCACCAAAAAGTGGAATATATAAACAAGTTTTTTTCTCTGATGGTAGAGTTGTAGAGTTCAAAGTCATGTTTTGCCCCTGTGGTAATATGGCTCTAACAAGGTTGTTTTGATGTGTGCCAATTGTAAACAAAATGGTTCTACTCAATTGCTGCCTCAGGTCCTTGGTCATAAGTTATGTGAGATGGAGCCAAACATCCTATAATATAGTTGTTACTGTTTATCAAAATGAGGTCAAAATTAACACTGACATATAAGTGATTTCAAAACACATGTGTTTGTGCTATTTTATCCCTTGCCAGATAATGTAATTAGGTTTGGGTATACTGTGTTTCTGAGAGCTTTGTAGGTGACCTTAAATTCATGGCTTAAACCTTTTTTTTGTGTGTGTATAACTGTCCATAGAAACAATTTATCTGAAGTAGCATTGATTTACAGTAAAAAGTAAAAATGTTTTATTTAACAATAAGTGTTTAATAATAAATAAAAATAAATTCTTAAATTCTAGTTCTTTATGACATTGTCAAACTTTCCCAGATCTTTTCTCTGAGCCTGGTCTCTTACCACTTCCTTGGATTCTGTATTCCAATAATTAGACATATTTGTTTGATCTTAAAATGTGCTGTCCCCAATTATTAGAAAACTATACTGATACCCTCCCCTTCACCAGACCACACCACTAGAATTCTTTTGGTGTCTTATCACTGTTAAAATCTCATCTTCTCCAAACACCTCTTTTCTGGAACTACCTAGGTGGAATGATAGACCCATGTATAGTAATCTTTATTGCCCTCATCATTTCTCTTTGGGTGTTTTGTTTATTCTAAAAGAGGGCATGCACCAAACACTGTGTCTAACTTGGTCATCATTAAGTCCTAAATACCAAACTCCAGGTTCCAATATATAATTTTTGAATGACTAAATAATTTAATAGAAAATATCTCAAAAGTTTAAAACATTTTTCCATCAGTTTCACAAAATATAAATTATATTCTACATCATTGAGAAAGTATTCTACTTAGAGATAACCTTAAGAATAATGCATTTATTACTTCTCATTTATATACTTTTTAAATTCATATATTCTGTCATTATGATAGTTGAGATTAGTTATACTAATCTCTTCTATTGCTGTAAAATACACAGAATGTAAATTTGCTATCTTAAAATTTATGTGCTTAATTATAATTGGTGACATTTTAAACTTAGCTTTTCCAATAACTCTTGTTATTTAGGATGGTAAAGAAAAATTTTTGTAGTGAGAATCCTATGATTGCCCACTTTTATTCTTCCTCATAAATCATTTGGAAAAAATTATAGACTAGAAAGTATGTATTGATTTCTTATTAGTGTTTTAAAAGCAATATTAATATTCTGTATCCTATTGAGTAGAGAGAGAAAGAAAGAACAAAATAAAGTAGTAGAAATCTTCCATTCTTATTATTTCTTCACTGAATTTGGCTTTCTTCAATAATACATTTTAAGGTTGTGATTTAGTGGGTACTTAATATATTTAAAATATGAATTAGAAGCTTATGTGGAATTTTTATTTAATCATCAAACTGTATTTTATGTATGCTATTATTATTCCAACATTGTCAGAGGACAGACCATCAGAAATGTTATGTAATGTGATTATCGTTTCTTATATAAGATGTTAGACCTTTGATTGAACTCTCTTTCTGACTTCAGAAACCATACTCTTACCCCTGACTGCCCTTTCTTCTTCATGGAGGACAGCATTTTCAGCAGTGAATCGCCATGCTTACCAAACCTCTTACTGTTTCAGAAGAATTGGATTTATTTGTTTCAATAAAACACAATGCATATCTGTATAAACTCACAATGCCCAGTGACCTTTTAAAACATGATTTTCTCAGCAATTATAGTGTGGACTTTTCAAGGACATGGATTATAATTTAATCTTCTTTATATTCTCAATATCTATAATAGGACCATCCAACCAATAGGTATTAAATTAAAATGTATTATTTCCTGACTAAAATAATTTAAATAACAAGTTTACTGCCTATAATGCAATACTTTATAATAAGGTTTAGAGAATTATTTATATATTTGCATTAGGCTCAAGACCATCCAGAAAATATTTCTTGTAATATGTTTTATTTTTATAAATATCTACTAATTTCTCCCCATAATTAATTTTTCTAAAGTTATACCATTCTGTCACTATAAGATAGACTCAAAGTCTCATTAAATTCAAAATACATAATTAATGTAATTATATTGCTTTCATTAGTATGTTTCATCATTTCTTTAGTATTTGTCTTTCACTGACTAGAAGAAAATCAAACTGATTTTTGAAATGGTTGTATCCCAAAATATGTCTGTCTCTGCTACAGCTAACTGTGCCTGTAATGTAGTTTGTTGCTACAAAATTAATATTATAATCTGATCTAAGTACACAAAAGTGATAAAATCTATAGTGATACTCCACATACAGCAGCAGAATCACAGAACTGAAGAATGAACTAATAGTTACTAAAGGGAAAGGTACTAGGGAGGATGGGTGGGAGGAGAGGGACAAGGGCGGGAATAAAGAAAGGGGGCATTATGATTAGCATGTATAGTGTGGTTGGGGGCACGGGGAGGGCTGTGCAAAACAGAGAAGACAATTAGTGATTTTATAGCATCTTACTACGCTCATGAACAGTGACTGTGAAGGGGTATATGTGAGGGACTTGGTGAAGGGGGGAGCCTAGTAAACATAATGTTCTTCATGTAATTGTAGATTAATGATACCAAAATAAAAACAAATAAAAATAAATCTATGGTGATAAATAATAAGGGTGAAGTCAGTGGTGTAAGTACTCTGGACAGGAATGTGTCTCTGATAAATATATAACAATTTTTATAGCATGGATAGTATATACCAGTATCATAACAGTAAACTAAAGAGCTTACCTTCATAAAATTAATATTTTAAATATAAAAAATTATGTGTAATAATTAAAAAATGACAAACTTAAGTTTAACTTAATGTTGAAAAAAACCTTTACTTAAAAGAATAACAGTGAAAAAAACAAACAATAATATGGACATCCAAGCTTTAGATACTAACATACCAAGACTTTGACTCATGACAAAAGCCATCTAAAAAAATGTCTAATGTCCAAGGAACTACATGCATTAAAAGATAATCAGGCAAAAAAAGTAGAAAAGAAGTACAATTCCAGATATGTGGAGGCATTCAATTTCTGATAGAATCCATAAACTGGAAATGACATGGTAGAAATTTGGATATAGAATTAAGGAAGAAAACCCAAAAAATCTTATTGTCTTATCTAGTCACAGAATAAGTTTAGAAATTTTGTAGTTTACTAAAGATTGAACAATGGCAAAAATTATTTAGGTAAAACATTTTGCAATGAAAGGAAAATCAAGAACATCCTGGAGATTTAGGAATACAACACTTCTTAAAATTAGGTAGCACAGGATCCTAGTGTTGTGAAATTGGAATATTTAGCATATATTCTGCAATAACAAAAAAATAATTGATGAGAACAAAATACTATGAATAATAGAAACAAAACAAAAGCGAGACAATTGAACTACAGAAATGAATGCAAGAAAAGTATCATATAAAAAATTTGTACCACAGTTTTTAAAACATAAAAATGATGATACAGGCAGACTTATCAAGAAAAGAAGAGAGTCTATACACATAAATAGAATCAGAAATAAGAAAGGAAATCACTGACTCTACTGAAATACAAAGAATTATTAGAGAGTACTATGAAAAATTATATGCTAACAAATTGTATAACCTAGAAGAAATGGACAACTTTCTAGAAGACTACAACCTTCCAAGACTGACCAAGGAAGAAATAGAAAATATGAACATACCAATTATCAGCAATAAAATTGAATCAGTAATCAAAAAACTACATAAGAACTAAACTACCAAACCAGATGGCTTCACCACTGAATTTTATCAGACATTTAGAGAAGATATAATACCCATCCTCCTTTTGAAGGAAGTAAACAACAGCAGACTCACAGAACCCAAGAATGGACTAACAGTTACCAAAGGGAAAGGGACTGGGTAGGATGGGTGGGAAGGGAGAGATAAGGGGATTAAGGGGTATTATGATTAACCCACATAATTTGGGGAGGCACTAGGAAGGAAGTATAGCACAGAGAACACAGGTAGTGACTCTATAACATCTTATTATGTTGATGGACAGTGATTGTAATGGAGTATGTGGTTGGGACTTGATAATAGGGGGGAATGTGTAACCTGAGCATAGGATTGTATATGAGCATAGGATTGTTTATCAATGATACATTAATAAAAAAAATGATGCTGGCATAGGAAATAGGAAAAACGAAATAAAGAGTGTGAAGACAAAAATATAAAGTGAGAGAAATTGAAAAGAGAGGGAGCATTCAGCCAAATGTTGCTCTTCAAGGAAGTTTAATTAAAAAATGTGAAAATCCATAATCAATAGCACAGTAGGAGAAAATTATTTTGTGTAAATTAAGAATTTGTGTGTGATTGACAAGTTTGTTAGGAAGTCAATGAAAATATAATTAAATAACACAACCTAAAGATAGTCTGATGTTTAAACATAAATGAAAAATTACAAGCTCATAGGCAGTATTAAACAAATAAAAATAAAACATAACAAAAACTCTCTCTCACACACACCTAAGAGCTACCTCTCTTCTAATGGTTTGAAAACAAATGGGGAACCAGTTGCATCATCTTACTGGCTCCCTCATTAATTAATATGTTAGAATTTGACACTGCCACTTAATATTCATTAGAGAATAATGATTTTTGCCTCCTTGTTAGATTTATTCTTGAACAGTTTGGAGGTCATGCACCAAACTGTGCAGTGGATTCACCTGAAAGAGCCCGATAAATTACACTGTCAGAGCAGTGAGACTCAGATAACTAAAATCCAAATAAATCTTATCCTGGCTTCTAGAGATGAAATAAAAAGCTGCGATAGAACAAAATATGGGTTACCTTCGTTCTCCAGGTTTTTTCTATTTGATATTTCCTCTGATTCTATGATTTACTTTTATTTCTCATTTGCTAACATTCAATAAATTATTCCCCACTTTTGCAACAATGATTGGGTACTTGCTTATATGGTCTGATTATTTGATGATTTCTGTAGATGAACAATAAATATCTGTTTTCTGTTGGCTGAGAGATGGCAGAAAATCTAATTTGTTAGTCTTTTTTGTTGAGTTTTGTGTCTATATTTTAGCTCATATTAATTAAGAATGATGATAATTTCTAAGTAACTTAAGTAACTTAAAACCTTAGACTGGCATAAAAATTGATTTTAATTCATTATTATGGATAATTTTTAAAAATTGATGGGCAATCACTAGTAGATAATTTCTTAAAAGGAGAGAATTCTGAAACATTGAGTATAAAGTATAAATGCAAGCTTATAAATACTTTGATTTCTTATTTTTGTATTCTATGCAGAGATTATATCTTTGTATCATATTACTGTTTATTTTTGTGACTTTAAGAAGATGAAAAAGGGATGTGTGTGGCTGTATATTTTGTGTTATGTGTGCTCACCACTTTGATAGTCTGCTAAATGTTTGTGTGTGCCAGACAGTTTTTAATAGTTCATCCTCATTCCCCAGTTTTCTCTGTAAAATAGAAGTTAGTTACTTTAGCTGAAGTTAATTAATATGAATAGCTAAGTCTATATTAGGAACAGTAGTGACAGAGGAATACAATTTTATGCACATACTTTTGTTTTTCGAGGAAAAAGAGAAGTTCATTCTATAGCATTCTATAGCATTCATATAGACTTTTTTAGTCTCTAGCCCTCTTTACACTTTTGGATTTATTGAAGTCCCTAGAGAGCTTCTGTTTATGTGACTTTTAGCCAATCAGTGCTTACTATGATGAAAATGTGAACTGTAAAATATTTTAAATATATATTTGTCAATTCATCTGAAGATAACAATGATGAACATAATGTATTTTAACAAAAATAACATTTTGGTATTATTGTGAAAATAGTTTTGAATTCATAATACCTCTCAGGAAGAATTGCTCACCTAAAATATTAGTTTGTTTCATAGTATGAAATATTAAAGGATGAAACTTGGAAAGTGATTTTATTTGCTTGCTTAGAATATTGTGTTTATAAAAAAAACAATAAATTGTTTTAAAAACAAGCAAATTTCATTCAGACTATGTAGGCTTGCTTCTTTGATTTACTGATGAATAACTCTGACTACAATATGAAAGAATTTTCTTCCCTTATGTGTAATCTGTATTGTTAGAAATGATTCTTTGTCTTAGAATACATGTTCTTTATGTTGACTTTATTCTTGATTACTCAAGAATAAAAGCAAAAATAATGATTTCTCACTTACAGAAAGCTAAGGTCCTTTCAATCGTCATGCTTATTTTTAAACGATTTATTATCACTTCATTTCAAAAATTCACAAATCAACAAAGTGTCATTATCATATTTAATTAAGTGTGTAATTCTCCTCTGACAACTTTTTATAAATGTTCTTTCCTAAAACTGCTCCTGATTACAAAAACAGAATATTCTTTACACCAAAACTATTGAGATGGCCTATAAGGCCTTTGGAAAATCACAATTGTTTTTTGAACTTCTAAGAAGATTCTTGAAATATGATTGGTGTTTACTACTGTAAGAGTCTCATGGGGAGCATTGTCAGATTGGAAGAGGTGATCAAATCAGCCTATTCGAGGTCAAATTTGTGTAGGTAAAATATTGTTTATATAAATATTTCAGGAAGTCTATGTTTTTTTGAAGTCCCTAAAGATTTCATTGCCCTTATTGTCAATAATATGTTTTTATCTCAAGGTAAACACTGACAGAAAGTGTCTATGTGATAGTTAGATATGCACCTTGAAAGAAAATTTTGCTCTCTTCCATTATGTTAACTTTGTGTTTGTGTTCTCAACAACAAGGAAGGTCTTAGAGCCTTGTGAAAAAAAGGATTGCATTGGGTATTTAAAATTACTGTAACTTCAAAGAATAGATTCTTGGATATAGGCTTCTGAGGTCATATCACTTAAAAACTTTCAGAACTGTACCTGTGGACTGAGTTAGGATTTCCAGAACTCTTTTTAGTCTGGAAGGCTTCATGAGAGCAGGCTTCTCACCCAAGATGTAATGAAATAAGTATTAATTATATAAGATGGAATGAACTGTGAAGGAAAATTTTTTGTGGTACTTGAAATAGAGATTAATTTAATGTTCTTTTTCATGAATTTATAAGGAATCCATTTTTCTCCCATCTCAAGCTTTTGGTAACTCAAACACACATTAAACCCTAGCTGTATATACTAAAATAAACATTTTTAAAATGTTATCTCATTTTTTATGACCACCAAGTATTCAGAAACTTACTAATCTTCTTACTTTTAATGGAAATGTACTTAGCTGCAGATGTTCAATAAGCATTCATCTGTATATTTACTAAGATATATTAAGACAAATCAACTGTGTAACTGAGATCTTACCTTGAGAAGGTTCATTTAATCAGATACAAAAGACCACTTATAAGGGGTAAAGGTTTACTGTACTTGTGGAGTTAATGCCCCTAAGGCCTCTAAGGAAAACTGGCTGATTACATGCATTACAGGGGCCCAGCTTGACAGGAAGTAGGGAAGGTCATGTCTTGGTAGGTCAGGAATGTTAATGAACTTTGGAGATATTGAATTCACCCAAATTTATAGATATTGAAGTTGAAAGCTGTTAGAGTGTCTTACAATTGGTTTCTTAGCAAATATCTTAGCAAAAAAAAAAAAAAATCAAAATCAAATATCAAAGGCTTTTTCAAGTCTGATCCTTTTGAAATCTTTAAGATATTTCCTTTTGAAATCTTCTTTAAGATAGAATTTAGTAGTTAAATTTATGGCTAGATTTGCAAAGAAAACTTAAGGAAGAATATATGACTGATATTCTGTGTATTGCACTTACATAAATAATCAGAACAACATAATGAGTAGATTTTTTGTGTTTGTTTATTTAATCAGGAATAATGTTTCTTTATGATCATTGTGTTCATAGGTAAGGAGACTATTGGGAAATAGAGTAAGACTGAAGCAGGCAAACAACTGGTATAATGTTATTTTTCAAAGAACAGAAAACTTTTTTAATATAGTGTAAAAATCTATGCTTTATACAATTGTACATCTAAATCTAAAAGATGACAATTATTTTTAAAAGATATTACATAGAGTATAGGGACTTAGTAATAATAATCTGTACTAAGATTTTAGCTATAGCTAACAAATATTGGAAGAGGAATAATACATTGCAATTTATAGAGAATCATGATACTATGGATTTGACAATAAAAGTGAATTAATATATTAATAGTCTTAAATGGAATATTAAGTTGATCACAAATGTGTATGTTTATATTCCTATAATACTGCATAATACAAGATAAGTAAACTATTACCCCTATAACTAAAAACAGGGGATAAATTTTATGCAAAGTCTAAAAACAAAAAGCAGAGAATGAAAAGATGGCATATGATAAAAGTGGAATTAAAGACTGACGAGTAAAGTCTTAATTTTTCAATGAGCAAAGTCTTAATTTTCAATCATGTCTGAGTTACCAAATTTTTATTTGTAGGGGAAGTATAACAATATAGTTTAAATATGATAAATTGTGCTTTATCATTTTGAGAACTCAGGATACAGCTTATTCATACAGTTATAGGTATTTCAAGTAAGAAAGATAGATGCTGTTAAAATAAAAACAATGGAGACCAACCTTGAAAATTCTCTGAGCAGACAAAACCAGTTTAGTTGTAAAAATAAAGCTTTATTTAGCTTATTTTGCAAGACTAACTAATGCTTCTCAAAATCATAAGCAGATCTTGAACCTATTCTCAAGGTTGACTTGAAGTGACCACTGACCAATTCTCTATTCATAAAGAAAGTTCTAATATTATTATCAATGACTGTGATTAATAAACAACCACTGCTTCTTCATATATCAAACTGCTTTATAATGTATCCCTGGACCTTATTCTATGGTTTGATTTGAGTGCTCCTGGTTTATAAACTTTTTGGTGTATACACAATAACATTTACTGATTACTACTTTGAAAATGCATTGGTTTTTTTATTCTCTTATTTTTGAACTTTTAACAATGCCAAAAGTTTTGTTAACTAAAATAATGCAAAATAGCTAAAGCAAATAATATGTTTTAGAAGAAGTTAAAACTAGCTTTAAAGGTGAGAATCCTAAATGCATTTTTTAAATTTAAAGATAAAAGCTTATATGCTTTACACATTTTTTAATGTTCACAGCTTTTTCTCATAAAAGTGCCATTGTTTTGTGCTTTTAATGGATTTTTATTTATATACATTATTTTTGTTATTTTTATTTTCAGTGGAATGTTCATTAATGTAAGTAGTATTTATTTTTGTACTTTAATTTTCCCTAGTTTTGCTTCCAGGCAAAAGGCATAAAAAACTCATCATCTTATTGGAAAAAAATATTATTTAAGTACTGACTAAAGATTTTAGAATAAGAAGAATGTGGTCTCCACTTTTCATTCCTCTGGAGAGCATCCTGAATATTGTTCTTTGGCATCCTCTCGGTAGTTGAGCCTTGCGCAGTCTGCACAAGCATAGGAGGCCATCCTGGATACCAGCCATAACCTTATTCCAAACGGATCTGTCAAACATTTAAAGCTTCAAACTACCAAAGAGTTGGAAAATCTGAAATATAAACTTTACAAGTTTGAAGGCAAGTGAGTGAATAGGGAAAATTTAAAATATGTAATAAAAAATTTATAATCCTTAATATACCAATGTACCTCTAAATAGTCTTGATATGTAATTAAACTTAACTTGTGTATATTTAAACTGCTTACCCAATACTGTGAATGTCACATAGTAATAGTAAGTTTAACTTTACAATGCACACATAGAAAGATACATACCTTAATAGAAAAACAGATGAAGTTTATTAACATCTAATGTACAAAGAATAATTCTAAATTGCCAGTAAGCAACTGATATATGTTAGGTATTACTGGTAACCTAAGATATGCAGAATAAAAGTTTTCTCTCATCCAGGTTGCAGTGATTATAAATTAAAATGCAAATGTTGCCTAGATTTTATGGAAATAATTGTAGCATACAGATATAAAAAGAAAAGAGATTAACATGAATTTTGTGGAAATATAAATGAATCCAATAAATTATCTTAAAAATGTAGTAAGTTTGCAAACTTATGTATGCATGTATATTTTAAACAGAACCACAAGACGGTGAACCACAGAAGTACTAATAAAAATAGGAATATGTAAATCAATTATAACATGTCCACACAATGGAATTGTACTTAGTTTAAAAAACAGTGCAAACGTAGACAAAAATGAAAAATTATAACAATGTAATAATAAATGAAAATATTAGGTTAGCAAAACTGTGTGTACATAGATAACCATAAAGTAAACAATGTTAATTTGTTAAGATTTTTTCAAGCACATCCACAAGATTTAAAAAATTAAACATTTTCAACAAGAATGTGAAAAATGGAAGATAAACCTACAGATTGGACTTCAGTTTTAGGTAAGTATATGACATCCAGCTCTCCTTTGACTGCACTCCTTTGTCCCTTGACAAGATATTCTTGTGGCCTGGACATTTGTCTTCTTGGAATAGATGTAGGTGATGTCAACTAAGCTGTCATTAGCTCTGAGTCCTGAGTCCATTCTCTTATCCCTCCCTCAAAGTGCCTGTTTGAAGTGGGGGAAGGCTTGAGTATTGGCGTACTCTTGAAATAGATCAACTCTGTGTCACAAATTAAATAATAATTTATTATGCTATTCTTATTGCCTATTCCTTCCTGTTTTCAAGCAGGACTGCCCACCCTGGCTATTTCCCCAAAGGTGATTTCTTTAAGTAGAACTATGTATGTCAAGTAGAACCATACACAGTAGAGTGTATTACATTTTATTAAGTGCTCTTATCTGATGAATACATTCAGTTCATCATAAGGTTTCCCCTCCTGTCACTTTTTAGAATGATGAATTATATAAATAGATCTTTCTAATATTTAACTATTAGCAAATTTCAAAATAAATCTTTCTTGGTCATTTTGTTAGATTTTTACTTTTCACACATTGTTGGATTCAATTTTTTAATATTTAATTTAGAGTTTGCTAAACATAAAAGTGAGAATGGCCTAAATTTTTCTTTTCTTGTATCAATTTTGTATAGGTTGGGTATCAAATTGAAACATCCTTCATCAACTGATTAAGTGGCATTTCCTCATTTTTTTTACTAGATTTTTATACTATGATGCAATCAGAATAAAGAAGAGGAAGGCTCCAATTACTTTCTTCCTAAGGTTGGTAATTTTTGCTAACCAAGTGCTCTTCTGACCTGCTCAAAGAGTTAACATAAAGTTACTTTAGATTCAGTGTATATTTAAAACAAAACTACAATCAGTATGTGAACTAAATGTAATTTATGTGGTTTTTTACTCCCCTCATCCTCAAAAACAGATGACATATTAACTAAACTTGCTTTTCCCTATATGCTAATCATAATTTATTGAGGACATGTGTTTACTTTTAATAATTTTATTGATATTTATCCTAATGTATGTTGATCTCCAAATGCTTTTTTAAAAGGTTAATATCATCAACAAAAATGTGATAGGTATTTTGTGTTGTCTTATTTAATTCTTTTATCTACATCCTATGTATTTTGAAATATATACACTACATATTTAATAAGAATAAATGGATTCAGTCACATCTTCATACTATGTGTTTTTATATCACAAAATGTAATCTGTCTTTAAATATGCAATATGATAGGAATCCAAATGATATGAAAATTATCTGTATAGTGATCTTAATACAAAAATACAATACATTAATACATACATCTTGGACTGATTGTACATTTTCTCTCTTGCCTAAGGGGATTCATGAAATAGCATATTGTCAAAAAGTTTAAATTTTACAGTTCCTATGTGATTTTTATATTTTCAGAGCAACATGCAGAGTAGGAAAGACAACTCAAAATTTTATGGAATCAAATAAAAATAATATAGTGTAAGAAAATATTTGACTTACAGATGATTCCTAACTGAATTTTATGAAGAAATGAAGCTGATATGTATTTATTTTTTTAAAAAAGGCTGAAGCATTGTAGTAGCAAGAATACCTTGCTATTTTTTTGCCCCACAGGTGAAAAATCATTGAACAAAATACCTAGCAAAAGACATATAATTGAAATTTAAATCTCAGTTTATGAAAATGTAATACATTGTCCCTTTCACAAGAAAAATGTTTTATTTGATAAAAGCTTTCAAAAGTATGGTTTTAGGTTTTTTATATAAATTTCTAAAGTGGTAATTTTTAAATAGTTATTTTCTTTTATTTCATATTGTTTATTGTCATATACATGTTAAGTATTTGGTTTGTAAAATCAATTTTACTATAATCAATGTAGAAATCATGAATAGAATTGCTACTTAATTTTATTAAATTATTCTCATTCAGTCTAATATTCTATTTTGACTAATAATTTTTAATTTCTCTAAATAATCATAATCTCTGGTTTTCTCATTTTAAATCTATGACTCATTTTAAATCTATGACTAATTAATTGACTAGCTAATTAAGAATAAAAGAAAACTGAAGTGAATTATGCTGTTTCTAAGCAGAGTGGAACGTTTCCATATGTTTTATCTGATAGAATTGATTTATTATAAACCTTGATTCTGCTAGGCTTATCATCAATAAAAGGAATATGATAGTGTTTCTCTTTTAAGTATTTTGCTTAAGGTAAATATAGAAATATTATAAATATTCAGGGGGATTCATTCCCTTTTTCAAAATTATTTACTGATAAACTATCTTTTGCCAGGAGCTCAATAAATATTTTTGAATGAATGCAAATGGTGAGACATAGGAATGACAAAAACAGACAATAGCCCTGTCAAATAAATGATCCATTGGGGGCGGGAGGCAGATGATTATAAGAGAAAAATAAATAGTAAAATTGTAAGTTGTACTTTATTGAATGAACAAAATAAAACACAGTAAAATAGAGCTTTCTGCATCATAGGGGGAGGCACTATTTTAGATAGTGCCATCTGGGAAGGTCCCTGGGGAAGTGACATGTGACCAGCTGTCCTAATTGTATGGACAAGTCAGCCATGTAACAATCTGGAGGAATAATGTTACTGGCAGTCTGAAGAGGAGGTATAATAGTCCTAAGTTTGAACAATACTGTTGTGTTCCAGGGGCAGTCAAATTGTTTAACTACAATAAAGGAATATTTGTAGAGGAAATCCACAAGGGAGATGGTGGCCAGATTATATATGACGAGGTGAGCCATGAAAAAATTTTGGATATTATTTTATCCAATGAAAAGCTATTGGAATGATTTAAATCAGTGGAATAATATAACCAGCCATTCTTTTAAACACAATCAAAAACCAAATTACTATAAATGGTACAATTGTCTTTCTCAGGGACAAAAATCAAAACAGATTCATCAGACCAGGAAAGAAATGAGGCTGGTTTGATTAGTAGATAGTGTTGGGAAGAGTGAGAAATGGACAGATTGTGGATGTATTTTGGAGCAGACCTTGCTAATGTACTTGATGATGGAGTGAGGAAAATATTAAAAAATGAGATCAGACAAAGGTAATTATATTTGAGCTTTTACAAAGATTGAGCAATAATCAAACTGATTAATCAGAGTGAAATATCACTTTACTTAGAGCGAATAACCTTGAGGTGAAAGTCCTTTCACAAGAAGGAGCCTTGCTCCTTTAAGAAACTAAAAATTCCCCAAGTGTATCTGCTGTGCTGGTGGAGACACAAAAGAGAAGAAAATTCAGGTAGACAAAGGCCATATAAAGAAAGTTGTCTTGCATGTTTATACTTTAGAAGTAACACCGGCAGAAATATTCTGAATATTATTTAAATATTCTGAAGTCAGAAGACCTCAAGTTGACTACTCTGGGGGCTGGGGTTGGAGGAGAAAAGTGTTAAAGATTTCATATGCAGATTTTCACAAGGTAAATAAAAGTTCGGATATGTTCCAAGAATTTTTATCTGTTCAAATTCTCAGGAAGTATGAGAAAACTGAGGTTCTGTTAATCATGAGACAACATGCTGTTTACCTTTTATGTAGCCAGAATTACAAGATTTTTTTCCCAGTACTTGAACCTGACAACAGTATGTCCCCTTCTTTCTTCATATAAGGCTTAACAGACATGAAGAAGTTAATGAGCGAGTACTGAAAATGTCTCTATACATGTAATTTCTTACGTTAGATGAAATAATTTCCTACAGAAGCACAAACTACCGTAACTCACCCAACATGAAAAAGATACTTTAAATTGTACTGTAACTATTAAGGAAATTAAAGTCATAGTGAAAATGCCTTAAAAAGAAATCTCCAGGTCAAGATAATTTCACTGGGTAATTCTACAAAACATTTAAAGAAAAATGGACACCAAATATGCACAATTTCATCCAGAAAATACAAGGGAAAGGAACAATATCCAACTCATGTTCTGAGGCCAATATCACACTGATACTAAAATCAGACAAAAACAGTACAGAAAAGAAAACTATAGATCAGTATCCTTGAATAATACAGATGCAAAATCTTCAAAAAATAATAATTGAATTTAGTAATAGTATATATTATATAGTAGTATCAAAGAAAGAATGATAACCATTACCAAATGGGATTTATTCCAGGGATGCAAGACTGGTTTAATATTTTAAAAATCCATGTAATGTACCATAGTAACAGGCTATGGAAAAAAAATCATGATTATATTCATCCATTCAGGAAGAACATTTGACAAAATTCAATATCCATTCATGATAAAAATTCTCTGAAATCTAAGAATGTAGGGCAACATTTACAATTTGATTAGTTGGTAAGGAATATCTATAGAAAACTTACTGAGCTGTATTCCTTGTCTCCCACCCCCTCACTACCACCCCACCATGACCAAAAGACTTCCAACATTTTTGCTCTACGTTTTTAAGATTTTCTGTTTGGGTCTTAACTTGATGGATTATTCATTTCAGAACTCAATAGAAATCTTGAAAGGAAAATCCTCTTCTTTTCCACATGATCCTGACACTTCATCTCTAATTTTTGTCTTAGCCCTGTGACATTGCCAAAGCTCTGCTTTTACTCTGCCTCTTAGTATAATCCCTCTCCCTGGGCTCGTTGCCCAGTTCCTCAGACTCTTGTCTCATGCCCAGATTTAGTAAATGCTGTGTGGGAAAAACAAATGGTTAAGATTTGTTGACTCACCTTTTCATGGCTACCTCTTCTTTAGGATTCTGTCCTGTCATGTTCTGGCAGCCTCAAAGGCTCTCTCATATATTCAGAGATTCATTTAGTATTATTTTTTTATTATATCAGCTTTTCTAGTTATATTCCAATTGTTCTTGATTTTTGTTTTTGTTTTTGTTTCCAACAAAATTGTTAGAACTGTTGTGGCATTGAGGGGACAGGAATAAAGTTCAGTAAGTTTTTGTAGATGTTGTTTACCAAATTGCAAAAGTTCACTATACTCCTAGAGCTTTGGTTTGCTCCAAGCTACATTATATTACCTGGAAGTGGAAGTCTTTTTTTTTAATTGAAGTATAGTTGATATACAATATTATATTTGTTTCAAGTATGCAACACAGTGATTTAACAGTTACCCACACTACTAAATCCTTACCCCAATTAGTGCAGTTACTGTCTATCAACAAAGGAAGATGCTATAGAACCACTGACTATATTCTCCATGCTGCACTTCCATCCCTGTGACCAACATTATGATTGAGATTTTGTACCTTTTTATCCCCCTCAACTACTCACCTCTCCCCACCCACCTGAGCCTCTCTCTCATGGTAACCACCAGTCACTTCTCAGTGTCCATGAGTCTTGAAGCAGAGGTTTCCAAATGGGTAGAGAAATAATCATCTAGAAGTGACACTGAGACGTGGAAACACTGATACTGTTATCAGATCCTGAAGAGTGTGAAGTGTTATCAGATCCTGAAGAGTGGAAAGGACTTCCAACATTTTTGCTCTACGTTTTTAAGATTTTCTGTTTGGGTCTTAACTTGATGGATTATTCATTTCAGAACTCAATAGAAATCTTGAAACTCAATAAAAACCCATAATGAACTCAATAGAAACCCATAATAGAACTCAATAGAAACCCATAATGTTGGTCACAGGGATGGAAGTGCAGCATGGAGAATATAGTCAGTGGTTCTATAGCATCTTCCTTTGTTGATAGACAGAATGAGTAGCCTCAGGGTGTTACAAAGCAAAACAGTGTCAGTTAACACAATAAGAACAAGGGACACTTAGCAACCATCCTAGAGAATTCTATAAAATGGAACCCCAAAACAATGATAAAGCACATTTAACTGTTTTGCCCCACTGCTCTGTGCCATTAAGCTGGCTGCTTCTGATTTTAGGTTACCCCTAGGGCAGTTTAGTCTCTGTTCATTAGGCACAGTGGTTGGTTCTATAGCTATAAACTAAACTACATATTGCACAGTTTAGATCCAGTCATGTTCAATAGAATGTTGTCCTTATTTAGGAAGATTATACTCAGTGAAAATAATTCATTGTTGAATTTCAGGGAAAAAAAAGAGAAAAAGTCTAAGAATCATGTGTTTTATACATGAAAAAGAGTAATTTCCAATATGGGGTTTTGTTCTTTTAGAGAATAGTCTCCATTATTATCAATTGTACCTACTTAAAACAGATGTTTTAAAATAGTTTTAATAATACTACTATTTTAAAGATTCAGCTAATGCAAATCCCAGCATTATGTTTGTGTGATCTGTTTAAGTGAAGGTCATAAAAAGGTTTCATTGCATAAGAATATAGGCTTATTCTCATGTGTATTGTATATATTCTTTGCTAATATAATGTATTAGTCCAGATGTTTGTGGTTCTAGGTTGGGTAAAATTACACTGTATTTCAGAACATCTTAAACAGGTAGGAAATGTAATATTTTACACAACTGTAAGTAGAAGATGACACAATCAATTATGTCATTAAAGCGCCAAGTCCTTCCTTCCATTTGTCCATTTTAGCCCTTGCCAGTAGAAGTTCCATCAAAAGACATATTCCCTGGATTTGCAATACCACTATCCCTCAAAAATTAATGCCCAACAGGCATTTCCTACTGAATCATCGCTGCTAAAAGGCAATCATTTCCAATGTTTCCTTTTTAAGTATGAGTAGACTTTTCCTAGAATTACACCAACCTCACATTGACCAGTTCCTCGCTCCTAGTGATCCCAATCACTGACACGGGGACTAGACTCCATGAGAACATCAGATCAGTTAGAAACCTCTCAAGGTTTAGAAATGCGACTGGTCGCCTTGGAAGCAAATGGTCAAAGGTAGGGACTGGAGGAGTGTGGATTTGTAATAAAGGTAGATTTCTGTGAGGGAGAATGAAAACACAGGAGTAGATGGATGTTGCTTAATTACATTAAACACTCAGTAACTAGCCATTGTTTTATATTATGTATTATTGTTCTAAATACTTTTATTTAGAGTATTAGTATTAATATTTATAACTACCCTATTATTTTATAGGTTATGAGGAAAATACATTTGACAGGTAACTTGCTATTTTTTTTGTCAAACTTCATTGTGAAAATGGGAAACCGATCTCTGCTTTCACTATTACAGCTTGATTTTCCTGTTCACTTTTCTGTATGCATCTTGAAATGAAACAGGTTTTATTCACAGAAGCCTTTCAGCATTATTCCTGTTCCACTCTACGTGGCTGAACTTTTTTCTCATGATAATTTCTCTACATTATTGGATAAAAGAAAGCTAGCTGCCATCATTTGAGCTAGTATTTGTGGAAATAATTTTCTCATTTATATCAGCTCTTTCCTGAAGACCTAATACCTGACTCAAATCAAATGAAGGATAATTTACATTTTATACAATTTCTCTTATTTTTGTCAATTTAATATGCTCTTATTGATATTTTTCCTCAAACAGAAATGAAATGGTTTTGGAAGATTATGGTTCCATAGTCTTTCCAGGAATATCTCACTTTAATGATTACATGAATTTGTGAGGAATTGTATTATAGTATCTTTGGCCAAATGAATCATTTAAAATGTGGTTGGGTACTCAATAATGTAAACTCCAAATCATTTTTGAGGTGCGTATAAACTATCCTGATTTTTTGTTCTGAAATTTTTAAATTTCATCCTTATATTTATATGAAAAGTACTTTTATTTCCTCTCAAACCAGAGCAATAGATTTATTGCAGGTAAGTTTTAGTTGCATTTTTTTTTCTTGTAATGAGAATTTTAAGATCTACTCTTCGTAACTTGCAAATATGCAATACAGTATTATTATCTTTAGTCACCATGATGTATATTACATCCCCATCCCAATGACTTATTTATTTTATAACTGGCAATTTGTACCTTTTGACTTCCTTCAACCATTTTCCCCACCCTCCAACTGCTCCCCTTCTCTCCCAGCAATCAGCACTCTGTTCTCTGTATCTATGAGCTGCTTGGTGGTTGTTTTTAATTTTTTTGTATTTTTTTTTTTTTTAGACTCCACATATAAGTAAGATCATGTGGTATTTGCCTTTCTCTGTATTAGTTCACTTAGCATAATGCCCTCAAGGTCCATCCATCCTGTCTTAAATGTCAAGATTTCCCTATTTGTATGAATGAAAAACATTCCATTGTATATATACATTTCTTTATTTATTCATCAGTGAACGTTTGTGTTGTTTCCATATCTTGGCTATTGCAAATATACTTCAGTGAAAATAGGGTTGCATACATCTTTTTAAATTAGTATTTTTATTTCCTTCAGATATATATCCAGCGGTGAAATTACTGGGTAATTTGATAGTTGTGGATAAAGTGAAGCTTCCTGTGGTTGGAATTCTCACCTGACCCTAGTTGGCTAGCTCACTACACATGTGTGGGCGATATGTAATTACTGACTCTATGTAAAGTGTCCTGCCCAGTGCTCTGCATGATGTGATGGCATGGCTGCAAAGTTGCAGGAGAGCAGAGGCAAGACTGGAGTCGTGGCAGCGCTGAGGACAGAGGCCCAGAGGATGGCTGTGCGGGACGGGAGGCCCAGAGGCAGAGACCAGCTTGCTGCATGGAGACTTGCTCTGAGTGAACGGGGATTTTAGTGATTGACCTGCCACCGTGAGAATAAATTTGGGCATAACCCTGTCACCCCAAGAATGTTCTACTCTCATTTCTTTGGTCACACCGAATCCATAATGAACTTGTCCAGGGCTGAAACCCATTGGCAAGACATCCCACTTATTTATTTTTGTTTTTCTTTGCTTTGCTTTTGGTGTCAAATCCAAAAAATCATTGCCAACACCAATGTCAAGGATCTTCTGACTGTGTTTTCTCCTAGGAGTTCTGTGGTTTCATGTCAAATTTATTTCTTAAGTGGTAAGTACATATGTTTGTTTTCAGTTTTCAATTTTTTTCTCCGTTTTATTGCACCATTTAGTTCCCCTAAAGGGTTATTTAGTATCCCTTTTTGGTAGTTCTCTCTTTCCTACTAGACTATAAGATCAATAAAGGCAAGAAACCTGTGTATCTTAATCATCAGTGTATCCCCAGGCATAGGCACTTAACACAAGTAAATGTGGAATAATTGTTTTTGCTAAATGCTAAAAGCTACAAAAACTTCTCTCTTTGGACCACAAATATTTGGATGTAGTAATATACTTGCCTTTTATATCATAGAAATCATCCTGACTCCTTCTTTGTGTTTTGCAGTAACTTTTTTACTTTTGTGTTTTAAAATTATGTCTATGTAGTTAGATAATTTTTTGGAAGACAATTTTAAAGTATGATATGATATTTTTATTTAGGATTTTGTTTTCAAAGCTTTCCTTTTATTTTTCATTTTAAATTAATTTTTGGAGATATTTATTTAGCTGATCTAGGCAGCGTTCTTTCCACAAATGACTTAATGCATCTAGTCTGCATTTTGGTGAGAATGGAAGAGGTGGTCAAGTTGTTTATATATATATATTATATTGGAGTGTGTTTGTAGTACACACAGGGAAAATACAAATAGATTTTCCATATTGATGCTGAGATAGATGAAACAATCTTCTGCAAAAAGTTTCTGTTCAAGTACTTCACAGCTGGTATATAGTTACTGTTATTTTTTTAAATACCATGAGTATATTAACTCTTTTTGTAAGTACCATGAGTATATTAACACACACATATAAAATATTTAATATAAGCAGGTAGGTTTTGTTGAAAACTAATTTCAAAACTTGAATCTATGGCATATGATTCATATTCCACTTTTGTTAGTATTAAAGTTGATAGCAAGTAGCTAATTAAACCACTTAATGAAAAAAATCAAAATAAATACATTCTGTGATATCAACTTCCAAATAATCTAGCAAGGCCTGGCATCATATAATACTCCGTGTATCCAAATTGACAGTAAAGCATTTTGGAAGAAAAGAACATCAATACCTTTGTGTTATCCTGAGATTACCTAAGGTCCTGCAGTCTCCACTAGCCAATCCCTCTTGGCTGAAGGGGTAGGGAATGTATTGGCCACTGTATGGGTGTATGTGCAGAAATTGCTTGTGTAGTGAAGAAAAAAAGGGATTCATGATAAATAGATGTTAACTTACAGTAAAACTACTCTTTATAAAAACTTTACAAATACATTTGCCATTAAAAACAGAGAAAACATGTGATGCTGCTGATCACAGTAAAAGATTCTCTCCAATATCTTCAGACTTTGTTACTTCGACTGGAATGGAGTGTGTGTCTTTGGGGCGTGGAGGTCTATGATGTTGTCGGACATGTGGTCATGCCAAGGGAGAGCTGTTGGCATGATCAGGTACAGCACCCCCGCTCCAGCAAAGTGGGAACCTTCCAATGTAGAGCACATAGAAGGGGATAGGAAATCCTCACAAGATCAAATATATAAATCTTGTTTTCTTACTGTTAATAGCTAAACTAGATTTGTTTTGTTATTACTTTGCAAAGGATGATAAATATTTCCTTAAGATTCTTTAAATGAATTGTATGTCATTGTCATCATTTTCATCATATATAATTATTTTTAGACTCAAGATAACATCTATCTGTCCTTTTTCTTACAATTTACCTGCCTGCTTGTTACTGAGAAATAGACAAGTATGGTTTGAATTCTGGCACTCTAAGTTTTATATAAACTTACAATTTCAAGGCTTATCTTAAATTTAGATATAAAATCTTGTACTGTATTTGTGATGTATGAGGTCATTACAGCATTGATTTAAGAAAAAATTAAATATATAGTATCATTTAGTAAAGACATCTGTTTAAGAGAAGTACTGAACTCAAAAGGCTCTGTGTGCCAGAATGGAAGCATTCCATTATTTTCCTTATCATTTGTAAAACTAACCTCTTTCTGCTTCCCAAGAATGGAGCCAATCATCTAGTCCTAGATTTTGTAACTGATTAATTTGAAATTCAACTCAATTTATTATAAAAGGAATCTAGTTCTTCCAGAGAGTGCCAGATAATTTAAACCTCTTTGAATCTGGATATTTAATTAATTTTTCACACTGATCAGAATTCCAGCTTCAGGGATGCTTATGCAGGTACTCCTCTTTAACCTTCCCATTGAAGTGGCTTCCAAATGCCAGCCTTTGGGAAGGACTGAGAACAGGGCTTGACTAATTTCTCACACTCTGTGCTGATGCACATTACTTTTCATATTTCTTGGGAGAAAACCAAGAGCAGTGATTAAGCCAGTAATTTAAATGTTTAATCTTGCCTGTTCAAATTGGGACTAATTACCTTTAAGAGTACAAAGTTTTTTTCTAGAATTCCTGTGGCTAAATAAAGTAATAGATAAGCAAAACAATGTTATCATTCATTTCAATTAAATAAATACAAATTATCTTATTTGCTTTATATTATTTTGTGTTTTCGTAATATATTCTCATTTACGTTATACATGTTTTAATATTTTATTTGTTACTTAAAATCATTCATATGCTTTTATTTTTTCCATCACATATTTATTAAATGCCTTGTTCTAGGCCAGAGGTTCTTAAATTTCAGCACTCATCAGTAATTTGGAGGGCTCGCAGCACACACTGATCACTTCATCGCCTCCCTAGGCAGGCTGCTTCAGTGGGCCTGGGGTGGTGCTGGCAGTTTGCATTTTTAAGTTCCATGTGATGTTAATGCTGCTGGTCGTGAGAATCACAGGTGTAGGCATTGCCATGTAGCAGGTCTTTTCAAGAAAAAGTCTATCTTCATGGATATTACGTTTCTTTAGGAAATACCAATGACAAATAACTAAACAAATAAGGAAGATACTGACGGTCATTGCTGTAGGCTGAATATCTGTGTCCCTCTCAAATTCGTAGGTTGAAATCATAAGGCCCAATGGGATGGTTTAGTAGGCGGGGCCTTTGGGAGTGGAAAGGTCATGAATAAGATTGATGCCGTTATTTAGGAGGCCTGAGCAGGCTCCCTTGCTTCTTCCGCCATGAAAGGATAGAAGTCTTCGGCTCAGCAGGCAGCCCTTATCTGGCTGTGCTGGTATACTGACCTCAGACGTTCACTTCCAGAACTGTAAGCAATACATTTCTGTTTTAAAGATCCTCCGTTTGTGATATTTAGATATAAGAGCAGAAACAGAGTAAGAAGGCATGAATATTGTGAAAAGAACCACTCTCATAGGTAGAGATTAAGTAAGTGGTATTAATCAGCTTGGCTAGAGAGGGTAGTAATTTGAAACCTGAGTGATAAGAAGCCAGCTGTGTTATTGCCCAGGCATGTTGAGAACTGTATAAAAGAGGTTGACAAGGGATCCCATCCTGACTTTTCCATGCAGTTGTGTGACCTTTGATACAATTTCTCCACATCTCCCTTCTCCACATCGGCAAAAGGAGTAAAAATATCCATCATGTAGAATTTTTATGAGGACCAAATAGGAAAACCAGGCCTGTTCTATTGTCTGGCATGATTCCCAATATCTCTCTTCTTCCACCCCTACAATATGCAATGTGACATGTATATTCATACTTATTATTAACTCTTCAAATGTGTATAATTTGGTAATTACTTCAGATTTATTTAAATTTTCCATCATCTGTTACCTGGTCATTTCAGGAAGAAATACAGTTTGGGTCCCTCTTGACTAGCCTGTGGTAAGTAGTCTTATTTTACCTCTACACAGTGGTAACTTCAAATTTGGTCATTGCTTTTGAACTACATTCACAGAAACACTTTTATGTGGGAACCTGTGTATAAATTAGGCAGACTACACTTCTAGTCCAATATCTACCAATTTATAGTTGCTGATATAAATGTATTTTTCCACAATAAAATGCTATACAAAGTTTAGTGATAGAAATAAAAGGTTTTAATTAATAATAACAAGGAACTCAGAACCCCTAGTCACTGTCCATTCATTTTTTTCATGTCCAGTTATTTGTTGACATTCTAGAATACAAGTTTCCATTGCAAGTTTCTATTGGTCCTGATAAACTTTCATTTCTAACTTTTGAGTAGATGCAAAGCACAGCGATAGGCTTTGTGAGGGATACAAACTGAGGCAAGACATAACTTTGTTCAGGGAGCTTGCTGTATAGTTGGAGTGGACTAAAACAATTGCTTTTATAGCTGGATTAAAAAGCAGAATATTAAAATGATTTAAGAGAGATGACAGATATTTATTGGAATAAAACAATATCCACTGCTACCTATAACTGACAATGGGGCAAAAGACAGAAAACAGCTTTCTTAAAGGATTTAGATGCAGCTGCAAGGTTAGGTCAAATTAGGTACAGAGGGAGTGGGTAATTATCCCATTAAGTAATTCCATGTACAAAGATTAAAAGGCTGGAAAAAAAAGTAGGTTATGAACAATTAATAGTGTATGAAATGTAATAGTGAAACTAAGATTGCAAAGCAAAATTGCAGCTATGTACAGCAGTGAATGTTTGGCTGTGGAATTCACTCAAAGGAATACACAGTAGATAGTCACTGAAGTTTTATAAGCCAGTAGATAACATTTTTCAGTGTCAACAAATTTCAGCTAGTGTTAATTGCAATATATGAGAAGTGTTGTGAAGGATAAGATCTCTTCAACTCTAAATTATTTGC